AAAATTGTAGCATCCCACGTAGCCGAAGTAGGACTTTGTCTTGCTTTTATTTGTAGCACGGTCAGATGATCTGTGCTTAACCCCTATGTTTTCCACCTTGCAGACTTAGGTGGCCCAAGCACTCCTTTGCACACTCGTCCGAGCTACTGAGTACAACCCTTGAACCGATCTAACTTATTCTTAATTTATACGATAGATGGGCAAGTATAGATACCTAGTAAATACCCCGGGCGGCCTAGCCGAATTCAGGAAAGACTACCAAATACCTGACGACGTCCAGCTGGTTTTGGCCGAAAAAGACATCACACCCTGGGATAATGAAGGCTTCGTCCCCTTCACCCTTTTATCTATCATCGAAACCGGCCTGCGGTTTCCGGTCTCTCCGATGCCTAAGTCAGTAAGCTTGACAAATAGACAAAGTTTTATGTTCTCAGAAAGAATTGTGTTCAATTACCTCCTCCAAGGTGGTGCTTGTGAGCTTTTATAGGTTTCGAGTGGCATAATCCTAGTAGGACTTTTATTTCTCCATGCAGAGTCCTCCTAGGATTCATACTCCTAAGGATAATGCTTATCCTTTTACACCCTCCCCCACTGCTTAAACCAAGTGGGATGGTTTTCACTTTGGCCGAACTACTATATGACCGAAATAAGCTTGGCTACGCAGAGCCACAGAGAAGGCCGAACTGTCCTTAGCTCGGTCTTCTCCTCCAACTCCTTATCTCGGCTTTCCCCTGTTCAACCATGGTGTGTTTAGATCAAACTTTCAAGTGGCAAGTTCTGACCGACCTAACCATAATATGTCACGACCGGACTAAATGCAAGGCCGGACTCACTTCAAACTGCCACCGGACCGGAGTTGCTTTACACATTCTCGAACCGGAATAACCACACCTATCCTGGGCCGGAATAACTTCACTTCTTTTGGGCCGGAGTATCTATACCTCTACTGGGCCGAAATAACATTACGGCTTCTTACCGATTCCTTTACGCTTTGGGCCGCAGGGCCCAACTCATAGCTCGGCCCAATTCTTTCCCAAAAATTACCCTCTCAGTAACCATTCAATTTGATAATTTACTCAATTTTTATTTGGAGATGTGAAGTTTTGTTGAGTGGGTCTGGAGATGTGAAGTTGATAATCGAGGGTTTGGTATTGTTGCGTCACCCTTTTTATTCCATTAAATCAATTTAATATAATATGCATGGCCCCATTATAGTCACGGGGGAGCAATAACCTACCAGCCATAACCAGCCATAATAAAATAATATTAAATTTTTTAAAATGGAATTATTCAACATATTCGATGCTTTAAAAACTAAAAGGATAATGGGAATCATCCTCTAAATCCAGTTGATGGTATCCTCTAAATCCAGTTGATGGAACTTACAGACAACAAATCCAGTTGATGGAATTTAGTAGGCACTTTTTGTTTTCGGTTTTATTTTTTGGAGAATTGGGAATCATCCCAATAATTTTTTAACTTGCTTTTGGATAATGGGAATCATCCAACTACCAATATTATTCTTCTCTTGATTTTTTTATGTGGTTGTTTTTCTATGTGGGTTTTCTAAGTTTAGGCTTAAGTTGCAATGATGTTGTGTATATTTTTTCTTTGTTAGGAATATACATAATTTCTTTACTTGCATTTAGCTGAACCTTTCAGATTCACTTTTCTAAATTCTATACCTTTCAGATTCACTTTTCTAACACCTATAAAATTTTCTTGACACATAAGCATTCAATTTTGCCATAGAATTGTTGGTTATCTTCTTCAACATTACCTTTGGTCAGGTAACTAATTGTAAATTTTGCTAGAAAGTTGTGACGGTTGTTTTTGATGGTCAAATTTTGGATGTTCTGTAAAATGCCTCAATTAAAATGGTTTACTTTCTAATATAATTATACTTTTTTTTTGTTCAAATAGTGAGTAAATCTATCAACCCAAGTAAATGGCTAAACAACCTTTCCTACAGAGAATTTGATTAACTATGCTTGAATGCACTTAGTGCTGGTGATGTGAATGTCCTAATTGATCAAAGTTATCTTATAGTTTATTCTACATCACACACAAAAAAAAGAAAATAGTGAGTGAATCCATCATAGTTTATTCTACATTCCCCCCAAACAGTGAATGATACATGCCTTGGATATTTGGTAAGATTAATTGGAGTTAGATCTTATTTTTAATAATAAACAGTGGGCAATTTTTAGGAAGTTGATTTTAGATAATGGATAATGGATAATGGAGCTTGCTTACTTATATTTTTTATTCTTCCTTTTGCTTCAGGTACATATGCCTTGGCTTGAAGTTGTGTTTGATTTGCTCATAAAAAGTTGTTATGGCTTTGTTTGCTACAATAGTTGATTAGGTAATTGGTCTACCTTCCATTGATGGATTTGTCAATAATTTGTTGCTATTCTATTGTTTAACTTGGCTTCATTTTACATGTTGTGAAAATTAAGAATCTTAAGTTTTTACTAGCTAGGCTTCATTTATATGTTGGCTATCTTCTGGATTATTAGCTAGATGCAGTTTATGTTTTTTGTTCAGAGACGGTAGAGAAACAAGAACCAAGAAAAGCGAATACTTGATTTTTTTATGCTAATAATTTATGTCTTCTATTTTAATTTTTGAATATCATACTATTTTGATGATAATCATTGTGATAATTTTTATTGTAATTTTAAAAATTAGCATTGTTTAGAATGCCTTTATGTTTGATTTTCAAAACAAGATGTTTTAGTTTGTTTTGATTAGACTTGAAAATTTCAAGTTAGATAATGAATGGAAGTGTTGTATGGGTCTATTAGTGAATGTTTCAAGAAATGGAGAGCAATGGCACAACGGCCCATTTAACAAGTGAGCATTTTTTTTTCTTCACAATTTTAGAAGTTTATTTATTGAGTTTCTTTTTATTGGAATTTTTCTTCTTGATAGGTGATTTTGGGAGTTGAAGAGAAATTTAGATTATATTGATTCAATATAATAACTTTGCCTATTACTTTTTTCACATCCTATAACTCTACCAGTACTTATAATCAATTAAAATTTTAATTTTAAAACTTAGACACTGTAAGCACAATTGTATATTCATTTTAAAATAGATGTGACCAAAAAACGTGGTTATAATAAATTAAATTTTTGATTAGATGGGTTAGAGTCAATTTTTTTTCTTCTTCTTCCCTTTACTCCTGTGACTCTTAACTCAATATATTTTTGTTTCATTGGGTGAAAACCGTCTGTTATTTTTTACAGGAGCTAAGCCTATTATTTCCTCTCTCTTTTTCCCTTTCATTTTTTATTTTACTTTTAGAGTGAGGATTGTAAGTTCTGATAAAAAAATAAAACAAATTATGCTTTCAGCTTTGCCAGTTAAACAATGCTGAGATTGGCTCAATGAGGTCTAGAAAGAATTTGTTAAAAAAAAAAACAGTAAAGAGGTCTAGAGTAACAAAAGTTAGTTTTTAGCCAATTGACCGTTTTGATTTTTCTTCAAATATTTGGTTTTGGAACTACATTAATTCAGTAGACTATCTATGTTATTAGTTAGTCATCTTGGAGTAATGAGTGGTGGCATAAACTTACTTTATGCTTGAAACAGTTTAAATCTGTTTTATACTTTTAATTGGATGATTATGCATAATGGTACCTCATAAGTGAAGAAGAAGGTTGTTTCACTATCAACCCTTAATGTTTGTTTCAGCTATTCAAAAAGAGGCACTTAAATAGCTTACAAAAGTCTAGGCCCAATTCAGACCAAGGTTTTTTAAATAGGCACTTAATATGGAAAGAAGGTTTTTGAATTTGTCTTACGTGGCAAGAAATTGTCTTAGTTGGCAAGAAATTGTCTTAGTTAACACGTGAAAGAATTAACTGATAGAATTTTTATGCCCTTTTGAGGAGCCTTCTATTACCACTAGAATTAAGAAAGTGGAAAAAATGACACAAACTATACAAAATTTCAATATATATATTCTTTAGTATCTTTATCAAAAAATGACATAAATTTACAAATTTCAACATGATACGTATAAATTTCAATTATGTTTTGATTTTAACATTAGGCACGGGCATACACTAATATATAGATATAGCTCACTCTCTTCTCTTTCCTCATTTCAATACACAGCTACACTACAGCATCAGCAAATGGCTCTGTTTCTCTCTCTATGTTCTGTTTTGTTCATCTTCTCTCTCTACAGCATCTATGCTTCCGCAGCTCTTCCTCCTCTTTAACCACATCTTGATGGTAAGCACTGCCTCACTCCCTTTTACTTGCTTTATATACATCTCACATTACATCTCTGTTTCACTTTTTGGAAGAAATTGCTTGAATGTGATGTGGTTTAGTTCTGATTTGGTTTGTAAATCAACAAAGTTTTTTACTTTTTAGAGTAACTCTAACACTGCATTTCAATTAACAAAAGTATATATAAAATAATTTTACTTTTTAATTTTATCTCACAACTTTACCTAATATGTGTACTCCAACAACAATTGCTACTCATGAAATTAGTTTGCCTAGCTTTTAGAACTCTCTAAATGTAGTTATCCAAAAGGTGTGAGGCAAAATGTAGATCCATTCTTGGTGAGTTTGGGACTAGCAAAAAAAAAAAAATAGAGTTTTTCCTTTTAGTATTTTTTTTTTAAAAAAAATTTGTGTAGAAAAAATTTACTTTTCAAGTCAATCTATTAGATCTAAAAAAAAATATAATAAACAAACAAAACAAAAAAATTGAAAAAAATCTTCTAAAAGGTTCATTAAAAATAAAAAAGTCTTTCGTTTTTGTTTTTTCGATCTTAGTTGAATATAAAAATGTAATATTTTCTAAAAGGCTACCTATAATTTTTCCTTTTTTATTTTAAAAATTTATGCTAGACTCAAAGTATTTTGTTGCAATTTCTACTTATAAAACATAAATAAATTAAATAAGTTTTAAAAAATTGAACATAAAAATTGAAAGTTGAGAAATAAGTGCATTTATCTTTAGTGCCCATTTCACAAAATAGGCACATTTCTCTTTCATCTTTATCCTAAATAGCATCCAAGTGGTAAACTCACATGAATATTATAAAATTTTATGTTCCACAGTTATCTTAGTAGTTTACATGGATTTTAATGTGTACTATTTGGACGTTGTTTTTATATATTTTTGAAGGGTGACACTTTTGCCAAGTAAATTTTAAATTTTCTATTTTTTTCCACGATATGTACTATGAAAATATGTCATGTTCCTAAATACTCCAATCTAGACTTTATGTCCCTAAATAATTTTTTAAAATATGTCATGTTCCTAAAGTAATCTTTCTTTTTTAATCTTTTTCCTTGTTCATTCTAAATACTCTACCACTGTTGGTTGGATATGAATCTATAAGAATATGTTAGTTTTGATACTCATTTTCTTTGAAAAAATTCACAATAGTTTAAAGTTTGTAATATTTTATTTACTAGTGTAAGCACTTCCAAATTGAGGCATGAGTTATAGTTATAAAAGTAAATTCATGATTTAATTGTTAAGCTTCGTTGGAGGGTTTATTTAATATGATTTGAATTTTCTGGCTAGAGGATCATGTATATTTTTGGATCTTAATTAAAATATTATATTGTCCTTCGTCTCTCTTTTATTTTTATTTTGTATTTTTTAACCTTTATAATTAACATTGTTTCCAACTGGTTTGTTTTCTTGATAGGAACTCAAAGCAACATATTCATCCAAAAATGAATATTAAACACAAGGTAAACTTTAATTGCTTTTTAATTTTTTTTTTCATACTCATTTTATAAATTTAAATTTAATTATTTGTCGGTTTACAATCTTAAAAAATTCTTATCCATTGTTTAGTCATGATGTGTAGGCATAAAAATAAATAAGGTAAAATTATAACGTTTTTTTTAGATATTTGGTCAGTCATATAACTTTTCTTTTCTATGAAATACATGTCTCACATTCCTTTTTTGGCTTTCCATTGAACAATACTCTCAATGAGTTAGAAGAGTGTAGGAATAGCCTAGACTCTTGCATTGGGAAAAAATACACAAATTAGTAGGTACTTGGATTATTTTTCTCTTACAAGATTACCTTCCACTATCAACTGAATTTTGTTTTATATCATGGTTTTAGTATTGAATTTTGCTTTTTCTTTGGTTGTTTTCTTTTTCTTATCGTATCAAACATGATGTTTTCACTACAATAGGTTTTTAGGTAGTTAAAATTTGGAGGTTTGTATGATTTGTTGTCATTCTCAATTTCACTCTCTATGCTATTGTTTTCTTTCTATTCACTTATCTACTTTAATAGTGCAGACGCATGTCTATTCACTTGAACATGGAATGACAGGTTTTAATTGACCATAATAGCTGCAGTGCTTTAAACAGTGATGTTGGCATTTGCAAGAGAGTTTGAAGTTATTATATTGTGTTGTAGATATCTCAACATTGAATCATGTAATATATCAATTCTCTTTTATGTAGCATGCTACTTTCTGTCTATCAAGTTACTAACCTAACTTTCACAATTTGAATTAATTTCTCACAGGCCAGTGGAAGCAAGAGCAAGATGGTGATAATCATGATCATGTTGCTTAGAGCTTTAGAGCCTTGAATAGATAACCATAAGTGATGATGTACTTGGATGAAGAATATAACTCTGTTTTGTCATCACTTGAATTGTGAAACTTTGTAAATTTCAAAATTTAGGAATCATTGTTATTACATTGTTCTATACTTTATATCATTGTCTAAGTAGAGAGATTGGACAGTTGTCTCATGTATCATTTTAGATGGTCAAGATCAATTTTAAACATTTTGTCGGATCTCATACAGCTAAGATCAAGAAGGCAGCTTTTTTAAAGTATCTTGAATATTTTGGTAAGACTGATTATTTCTTTCTAAGATCAAATGGTGAGAGATTGTTTTTTCACCTTTAAATTCCCTCTCAAATGTGTCATGTTTGTTGATAAATTCCACCTTTAAAGATCTCTCAATTTTTTGTATCTTGCTTCATTTCAAAGCTCACTCCACAAACCTTTATCCATCTCTCCTCTCTTTAACCATCTGCATTTTATCCCATTCATTTTCTCTTGACATGTGGGTATGATCTATGTTTGATCTTGACGGTTCATTTCTTTGGGATTGTGTAGTTTTTTTTATTATAGGTATATGTAGCTCATTTATTGTTTAAGGACTCAATTTATTGGTATGTGATTATTTGTGACTTTTGGTGCATATATGTTGACAGTTTTGTAAAATAATTGATTTCAATGTTTTCTTTGGTAGGTTTTAAAGGTAGAATGAGAGAAAAGCTTAACACTATGACAGATTTTTAACCTAAACAGAAAGAGCGACTTCAATTTTTTTTGTTCATATATTTTAATTCATAGTTATTTATTTTATTTTATTTTAGAGGTCCGTAGTTATTGATTTTTTGTTTGTTTTCTTATTATTATGCTATCTACTTTAACTAAGAGGAGTTTGGCTGATGGAATTGCCTAATTTTAATTTTGGTATCATTTTGAAAGGAAAATTGAGTAATGCTGAATTTTCAAATTACTTTCCAATTAACTTTTTAGTTTTCTTCTAATCTCATTTTCTATCGACTTTTATTTGTTGAGCAGATTTTTATCTATTTTGTGTTTGCGTGATCTAATGAAAATTACTGTTTTTGCTTAGGACCGCTTAATTGAGCATAGTCTATTGATTGCTTTTTTTTTTAGCAATTATAGTATTAATTTTTAACCATAATTGTTTTCGAACTCATAACCCATTTGATATATTTATTTGAAATCATACAAACAATTCATGAGATACGGTATGCAAGAATTGATAGAAAGCATGCTTAGATTTGTTTTTTTCCTTTCCTTTTGGAATGTTTTTAGGCACAAGTCATTCGCTAATTGTCTAATATGAAAATGAATTAAAATAGCGAATGACTCGTGCTTGATTGGGGATAAAAAGATCTTAATATCTTTGTAGAATTTTCACCAAGATTGCTTACGAAAATTGCAAGGTAAGTCATTTTTTTTTATATTTTTATTTCTTCGCAACTTGATTGTAACCCATTAAGTATTTTCTATCCGTGACACTTAATTACTGGAATTAATTTAGGAAAAATTGCAAATCAGTGGTAAGACCAAAAAAAATTACAAAATCATGGGAAACTTTATCACTTAAATTATTAAAGTTGATAAGCTTTACTATTGATTTGCAATTTTCCTATTAATTTTTAGATTTTATTATCGATTTTGCTATCAATGGTTTTACTTCGAAAAGTGGAGTGATGAGTTAACTTTTTGCTATTCCTTTTAAATTTTCAGAGATGTGTAAGTGATTTGGAAAAAACCATTTGACTGCTATGTATGATTGCTACTTTTTGTACAAGTGATTTAGTATTTGATCAAAAATATTGTTGATTGCTCAATGACCCAACGTCTAGCTTTATATTGAACTGCCTAGGTATATTAATTGTTTCTTAACTTAATTAGTTATGTCTGAAAGTTTGTATAACACTTGCAGGTTTCTGATTGATGTTAGATTGTGTTGGGATACATTTTCTAAAACCTCATGTCACATTGTAGGCAAGTTAAATTCTTTTTTTCCCTATATTTTTTCTCACGTAATTTCAGGTTTATAATTGGCAAAGAACTATTACAATGTGATTTACAGCAATAATACTAGCAAGTGTGCATTGCTTAGTGTTTAAAATTAATGTCAGGTTGTGTTGGGAGTACATTTTTCTCATGTCACATTGTTTGTAGGCAAGTTAAATTATTATTATTTTTCCTAGATTTTTCTCACGTGGTTTCAGGTTTATAATTTGCAAAGAACTATTACAATGTGATTTGCAGCAATACCACCAATAGGTGTACATTGCTTGGTATTTAAATTAATTGTTTTAGATTGCAGAGTACTGGTTGGTGTACATTTCAATTTTAATTTTCTTAGATTGCAGAGCCATAGCTGGTGTGCGTTGGTTGGTATTTAATTTTAATTTGTTTTTTTTTTAATTGCAAAATACTGGCCGGTGTGCATTGTTTGGTGTAATTTTTTTTGAATTATAGAGTGTTAACAAATGTACAATACCTTGGTTTGTATGTTTTGTTTTGTCTTTACAATTTTTTATTAACTTGCATAGCAAGGGTGCTTTTATTTTTAATGTTTGCATTGATATGAAGTTTATACTTTAGAGTCATAAATTTTTTTTAATAAAAATGAAATGTTTATGATTGCGTTACTTGCCGTACTTTAAATAGTTGATTGGGAAATATTTATTTTCAAAATATACAACCAAAAATATTTTTTAATAAAAAATCTTTTCAAAACTAACTTGACCTTCATTCATATTTTGACTTCAAGTTTTGGGCAACAAATGGGATAAATTACCTTTTAATTTAATAATTTTATATTTAATTACAATTTGGTCACATTATTATCTGGATCGTACCTTTAGACACGGATATACACTAATTATTTCATATGACACAAAACAATCATAACCATTATTGCATTAGTTTTCTTTTGCATTAATATGCAACAATTGTGATAGTGACATGTGGAACGATATGCCAAATATAAATAAAAATATAATAAGTGTAGAATTATTAAAAATAGTAAAACTATTTACATAGATATCATTATGTGAATGAATTCTGTGCATGTTGCACATATGTATTAAAAACAAAAATGTTTCATGCCCCTTTTGACCCTCTCTCTCTCTTATTGGTTACATTTTTTTTTCTTTTCTTTTTTTTTTCTGCTCCTTCAATTACCACCCGCCACGTGTCTGTGGGGGTGGTGATTAGAGGGGTTTCTATCATGACTCTATTAAAATATATATATATATATATATATATATATATATGTGTGTTCTTAATTACTCAAAATTGAAAATTTGGGGCATAAATAGTTTGGACTCACATCGAACCCAAAAGTCCATTACTGGGTTTAAAATCATGGGCCCAAAACCCTGCTAATGAGAATGAGGACCAATCAAATAACCTTTCCAAGAGCCCGTTGGGCCACAGACCTTTTCATATCTGCTTATGAAATTAATTTAGAACTGAAAATGGAAACAAGTTATTCTAGTTTACTTTTTGTTTGACTCCTTATTTTCTTGTTCGAATTTCGAAACATAAATAAATTGAATATATTTAAATAACTAACATTAACGGCCTCAATCACCAAAAGGTTGGGCAAACCCTAAAAGCATTTCTGAACTATAAAATGCTTCACCAATGTAAAATAAATAAATAAATAAACAAAACAACAATATAAAGGTTTTGACTAACTTGTAAAATCCCAGTTGGTAACACAGAAGATTTGATTTTCAGAATTGGAAGTGTTATGACTATTTTTTATGGTATAGAACATAAGTATTGAAATTACAAAAACTGCCAATTAATTACATATTCTTTTTACCGTTCTTAAAAAAAAAAAAAAATTACATTCTCTTTTTTGCATAACACTGTTGTACTACAGCCATTTCAAATGATATGACTTTTTCTTATTTTTCAATTTCTTTTTATTATCTAGTATGGGTAATTTTTCGTTTTGACCCTTCAACTTTACTTTAATTTTTTAATTAGCATATCGCCCGTACTATGCACCGGATAAAATAATATATCATTTAATAAAAATCTGATAATTATATTTAATTTTTTTTTATATTTTATAAAATAGAAGTTAAATGGAAGTTAGTCAATCACGATTTTCTTCATTGTTTAAAATTAAGAAAATTAAAAAAATTAATATGAGATATTGATAATAAGATTTCTCACTAAAAATCTCATTTTGCTTATATAAATAGGAGTATAAGATATACTTTATGTAAACGAAACAATTCATTTTTTCCTTGATATGAGATTATAAAATAAAAGTTAAATAAAAGCTAATCAATGAGGGTTTTCTTAATTGTTTAAAAGTTAACAATTGTTTGAGCGAGAAGTTTATTTTGAATCAAACAATTTTAGCCGCTTAATCTTTAATTAGGTCAATCTTTAATTTATTTCGAATCAAACAAATTTAACCAATATATTTTGCTAAAATTGCAGTTAAACCAACGAATCAGTCAAACCGAAAATGGTTCACCCTATCGGCTAAGTCAAAGAACCACCAAACTTATACAAAAATTAATTAATTAAAACTTTGAAATTTTATTTTAATTTTAAAATTTAAACTATCTTGAACTAAAATATACATAGCACTACAATATTAAATAGGAGCATAAGGTTTATATAGTGAAATAACTCTTTTTTTTCCTCATTTTCCTGATGTGGGATTGCAAAATAAAAATTAACAATTGTTTGGATGGGAAATTCATTTCTAATCAAGCAATCTCAGTCGTTCAATTTTTAATAAGGTCAATCTTAATTTATTTCAAATCAAACAAATCTAAGCACCAGTGAATTAGTCAAACTGAAAACGATTCAGCCTAATCGGCTAAGTTAAAAGACCAACCAATTTACAACAAAATTAATTTATTAAAACCTTTAAATTTTATTTTAAAATTTAAACCATCTTGAACTGAAATATGCACAATACTATAATAATAAATGAGAGTATAAGATTCACTTTATATAAGTGAAACAACTCACTTTATAATTCTTTTCTCGATGTGAGATTGTAATTATTTTAAAGTTAAATATCATGAGAGTTTCAAAATATCATACAAAATTATTTTTAAAATCAAAACATTTATGTGAGATTATAAAATAAAAGTTAAATGGAAGTTAACCAATGAAGATTTTCTTAATTGTTTAAAATTAAGAAAATAAATATAAAAAAAATTAGTATTGATTATAGGGCATCTCACTAAACATTTTATTTTCCTTACATAAATAGTAATATAAGATTCACTTTATATAAGTGAAACAATTCACTTTTTCCTTCTTTTCCTGATGTGAGATTGTAACATTTTATATAAGTGAAACAACTCATTTTTTCTTTCTTTTCTCAATGTGGGATTGCAATTATTTTAAAGTTAAATATTATGAGAATTTCAAAATCTCATACAAAATTATTTTAAAAATAAAAACTATGTGGAATTGTAAAATACAAACTCTCACAAGACTCCTCACTAAATATGATGGAAGTATAAGATTCACTTTATATGAATAAAACAATTCATTTTTTTCATTATTTTTCCGATGTGAAATTATCAAATAAAAGCTAGTCAATAGAGTCAAGAAAATTAGTATGAGATATTAAAGTTCCACACTAAAAATTCCACTTTCCTTATATAATATATAGATTAGGTTTTCTTCAATTCAGGATGTTAGAAACATATAAAGATCAACACAAAATTATGAATTTTTATGCTAGTGATTTCAGTGCATCCCATATGGCTTTTGAAAAATGAAAACCAACTACTATTCTATGATTTTTATTACAAAAACAGAACTTGGATTCAAATAGGTTTGTATACTTTATTTATTTTAATATTATCAGAAGAACAACAAACACATGGGCAATTTTGGTAGACAATCCTGTTAAACATCATGCATAGTTGTTTTGGCAGCTTTTATTTGCACACTACACTTTGTTTTAGTTTACGATATTTTTGTCGTTCAAATGTCAATTTTTGAACAAAAATAATATTAGAATATTAATTTCTGAATAAAAATTAATTGTTTAGATATCAATGATAGAGCATGGTTTCGTTCGAAAGTTGAAATCTGAGCACTAAAATTGTGTGAATTGAGAATTTTTGTTGAGATATTGAAACTCTCACAAGACTCTTCACTAAATAGAGATAAGAGTATAAGATTCCCTTTATATGAGAGAAACAACGCTTTTTTCTTTTTTTTTCTTTTTTTCTTGATGTGAGATTATCAAATAAAAGTTAACCAATAGAGATTTTTTCAATTATTTAAATTTATTTTTTAATCAAAAAATTAAGAAATTATGATTGAAATAATAGAGCTTCCACAAAGTTTATGGGTTAAAAAGACCATTTCTCTTATATAATAGATGTCATCTAAATTTTTAATTTTTTTCATTCGTACACTTCAATTTTCATAATTACGTTAATTTAGTCTAATTCAGTAATAGTGTGAGAAAAATAATAACTTGCATTTGTTGGATTTGGGGGTTGTTGTGCCAAAGCATAGTAATCACTGTTGTGCAGTTAAATAGATCCATTTCGAGGCTTATTTTAATAATCGAAACTGTTCATATTTTATAATATATCGAGTAGAACATACCTATAAAAAATCAAATTAATCGCATATCGTTAAATCTTTCATCCACTCACATTTGTATTCATTTTAATACTTTAAGGTCATGTTTGATTCACAAGACTAATAATGAAATATTAATAATCCTATTAAATTACACTACAAGAAAATGGGGCTTAAAAGACGGGACTATTTGCGACGGTACACTTGCCGTCGCAAAAAGTCACTTTTTGCGACGGTAGAAAAATACCGTCTCAAAAAACAGAGTATTTGCGACGGTAAAAAATGCCGTCTCAAAAAACAAAGTATTTGCGACAATTTTTTTGTAGTGTTAGTGTGGTATTCATTATCCAATTGGATTAACATCCATTGGATTAATAGTCCCACCCCTACCCCATTACTAATAATCCTACAATTTTGTTGGATTAATTATCCAGGATTAATAATCTTAAACCAAAATGTTAAAACAAACATAGGATAATTGGCCACACGGATTAATAATCCAAATCTCATGCTCTAATCCACCCAATCAAACATGCCATAAAATCACAATTGTTATTTATTTTTGTAAATACAAATGTGAGCGGATGAAAAGGTTAACGATATCCGATTAACTTAATTTTTTTACAGATATGTTTTACTTGATATACTCTAAACTATAAATATTTTGGATCATTAAAATAGACTCATAAATGAGCCCATTAGCTGCACAACAATGATTGTTGTGTCCATAGCACAACAGTCACCCCAAATTCGCATTTGTTACACTTCAAACCAAAACATTTAGGGAAATCCTATATGCACCCTACTATAAATTTAATGTAACCACAAAATTTTATAACATTAATTACAAAATACATAATTTCACTATAAATTAACATAACAAAATGTTCAAATTTTTGTGATTAGTGTTGCAAAAGTTTGTAACTTGGTTACGATATTTTTTGTTATACCAATTTGTTGTGAAATTATATATTTTGTTATTGATGCTAAGAAGTTTTGTTATAAAATCACATCAAATTTGTGATAGGGTGCATATGGCATACACCCCTAAAAGGGTGCATACCATAAGCTTTTCCAAACACTTGTTTCTCTTATGAGTAGTGTTATTGTAATCCAAAAATTAGACTCACTTTTTAAATCTGATGATGTGACAATCTATTAAAATATCTAAGACCTCTCTCTCTCTCTCTCCCCCATATTTTAGCTAGGTTTGACATCCTTTAAAAAAATCAAAAAGTCAAAAAATCACTATCCTATTTATGTCATATCATCTTATTTAAGTCACATTACCTCTCTACCACATCACTTCAAACCTAACTCATATTTCATAAAAAGTCAAAAAATACACTTATTTAAATCATCTCAAGCAACCCCAAATTATCAATCAAATATCTCATTAACAAATCATTGAATTTAAAAAGTTGATTTATATATTATTTTTCTTACCTCTCATATAGGCTATGATATTTTTAAGGCTCAACTAAGAAATACAAAATATTATAACCAATGAGATTAATTTGCTCTGCTGCCTAAAATGTATATATCTTATTAGGAGGTTAAAAGTTTAAATCTCTCCTCTTGAATTTGGGTCTTATTTTTAATTTTTTTTGGATTGTGCTTCTCCACTTTTGGTGCTTTTTTATTTTATTTTATTTTTTATATTCAACATAATTATAATTGTAATATGATACAATAATAAAAAAGTAAATTACATATCATGACAAGATCAATTTTATTATCTCTAAATGAATTGGATTGTATTAATTGAATCTGAAATAAAAATAAAAGTTAGAAGGTCGAGAATTTCTTTTATTTATTTAATTTTTAGAGAAGAGAACAAGTTGGATATCCTAAAAATCAGATGGAGCAATTTTGTGGAAGAGAATCTCTCACTAGGGATAGCCCCCATCAATTGGTGGGGTTACCCATAAATTTGGACACGATAGGACCGAACACACATGATATTCGCTTCTCTCTCTCTCAAATAAACCATCATCAATCTCCAAAATTCAACCTATGCGGCGACGTTTCTTGTATTCATACAATGCATTTGGCTGTGGAAAATTACATACAAAGTACACAAAAACTTTATTCAAAATCATTCCCATTTTCTCTCTTTGCTTTTTCCAAACAAAAGGCAAAAATTCTGATAAGAGTACAGAAAACAAAAGTAGAAGCATAAAAAAATAAATAAATAAAAAAAAGGGAAAGACAAAATGGGTACGTCATCACGTGAAAATCACGTGCAGATCCTTATCCTCAAAGAAGACCATTTGATTTTTTAAACCCCATACACAAAACAAAAGGACTGGTGTCCTGTCCACAACTTATTCGCCAGGTGTCAACATCACCACCCTTATTAGCAAGAGTGCTCTTGGGCCTCACTCCTATCATATATAATACACGTAGTCCCCACATTTACTTACCGTGTGGTCTCATTTTTTTTTTTTTTTATATATATATAAACTAGACTCACCGTGGGAGGTTTCGCCGGAGCACCGGAGCAAGCAGCGCCGGAGCACTCATGTGAGGCAAGTGGCCCTCCGTCCGCAGCGTCTCCACCGTGGTCCGCCCTCCAAGGTGGTTCTTCAGATACTCCGCCACCGAGGCCGGTACCGAGACGTCTCGGGCTGTCTGGATTATGCAACAGGGGACTTTAACTAGGCCCAAGTACCCCCTCAAATCGCTGTTGAATACCGTCCGAGACACGAAGAGCGAGATATCGGGCCTCATGTTGAACAGAGTCCGGCTGAATTCTCGTACCACCGCCGGAACATCGGCTCCCACCGCAAGCGGAGCGAACCCGTTGACCCACGCCTCGTAATTGGCCTCCATTGCTGCAAACAGTTTCTCGATCTCAGCTTGCTCGAACCCACCACGGTAATCTCTATCATTTAAGAATCTGAGAAATACCCAATTACGAAATTAGGTACAAAATCCAAAAATATTCCAAAACAGGGCTAATTTTACGATTTTCCTTTAATTTGGGGTTTTTTTTTGGTTACCTTGGGGAGGCGCCGATGAGGATGAGTTTGGTGAAGAGTTCGGGGCGGCGAATGGCGGCGAGGATTCCGATCATGGCGGAGATGGAGTGGCCGACGTAGGCACAGCGATCGACGTTGTGGGAGTCGAGGATGTGGAGGAGGTCGTCGACGTAGGCGTCGAGAGTGGTGTATCGGCGGAAATCGAAAAAGTCGGGGTTGACACTGCCGGCGCAGACGAGGTCGTAGAGAATGACGCGGTAGTAGGGGGTGAAATAGGGGAGAATGCGCTGCCACGCCGATTGATCGGTGCCCATTCCGTGGGCTAGGACGAGGGTTTTCTCGCCGGTGCCGATGACCCGGACGTTCAGAGCTTCCAAGAGGCTTTGACCCATTTTTAACAGAGGCTTTGATTGTTGGAGAGAGAGAGAGAGTAGAGATATACAGACAGATATGTATAGAAAGAAGGTAGGTGCGTGTGCGTGACACTGTGAGAGTTGATTATGAGCTGTGGGTGTTTTTGTTTTAAGACATTTTTCCAAGTATTTCGTGAGTTCGGGCTGCTGCCTATTTATATACCATGTTAGAGACCCAAATATTTTATTAAAAGTTTTACCAAATGTTATGTGGGTCCCACACCTATGTGACATTTGGTAAAATTTTTGGTAGAATTTTTGGGACCTCTAGCATTTTTGATATACAATTAGCGGTTGGCAATGTGTGTACCTTCAATTTTTTTTTTTTATAATATTAAAATAATGTTTTTTGAAGTATATTTAAAGTAAATTATTTATTTTAAGAACAATCTAAATAATGTCTCGAAAAGATTTTAAATATTTATTTTTAATTTTAATAATTTTTGAAAAAAATAATTAAAGTACAAATAAATTGAGAGAGAGAAAAAGAATTCAATTAAAAAAATTGAGAGAAAACTAGGAAAACAATTTTAGTTGGAAAAAAAAATTAAAAAAAATTGTAGAACCCAAATGAAAAATAAAAATTTTAAGAGAACGAATTGATTCATCTATAATAAATAAATAAATAAAAGAGAAATTGAGAGAGAAGTGGGAGAGGAAAAAAAAACCTACTCAATCCCAAGTTGAAAAAAAAAAGAAATAAAATAAAAAGAAATTGAGAGAGAGAGAGAGAGGGGATGGATTCAATTAAAAAAATTGAGAAAGAGAATTGGTAAAATCAGTTTCAGTTTGCAAAAAAAAATCTTGAACATAAATATAAAAAAAAATAAAAACTTTAAGAGAAAGAATTGATTCATCCATAATAAATAAATAAAAAGAGAAATTTAGAGAGGGAGAGAGAGAGAGAGGTGGGTGGAAAAAAAAGGGTACTCAGCACTAAGTTGAAAAAAAAAGAAGAAATAAAATAAAACTAAATTGAGAGAGAGAAAAAGAATTTAGATAAAAAAAAAATTGAGAGAGAAAACTGGGAAAACAGTTTTAGTTTGAAAAAAAAAAAACTCTAGAACCCAAATAAAAAATAAAAACTTTAAGAGAAAGAATTGATTCATCTATAATAAGTAAATAAAAAGAGAAATTAAGAGAGAAAAGTGGGTGAAAAAAAAAGTACTCAATCGTTGGAAAAAAAGCTACATAGTTATCCACTAGTGTTCTACGTATCAAAAATAAATAAAATAAAATAAAAAAATTGAGAGAGGAGTGGGTGCCAAAAAGAAGTACTCATCCATTAAAAAAAAATGTACAATTATCCACTAATGTTCTACGTATCAAAAATAAATAAAAAAAGATTTTGAAAGATGGAGAATAGAATTGGTTCATCACAAATAAAATTCAGAAAGAGAATTAAGATCACAATTGATACAGCATAATAAAGTAATAAAAAAAATTTGAGAGAAAATTGGAGAAAATAGGTTCAATTAAAAAGAAATTGAGAGAGAATTGGAAGGGAAAAAAACTTTACAGTACTCAATTCATGTTGTACATATCAAGAATATAAAAATAAATTGTATAAAAAACATACCTGACAATATTTATGTTTGTATTTTTACTTGAGGAACAATCGCTTTCAAAATTAGTAAAATGATTGAGGTTCAAAATAAAAACTATAATAGTTTGATTAAGAAAATTAAAGTGACCAATTTTAGGAAGAAAAAGACAACAAAAATAATTAAACTTCAATGGTTTGATGGTTTGAAGGGAAGAATACCTTTGAAAAGTTTGATTTTCAAAAATCAAACTATTGAGGGCAGTTAAACTATTGTGGATAGTTAAACAATAAAATGAAAAGTAAATTTGTAAATTTGATTTTCAAAAATTGAAACTGCTGGGACTGTTAAACTGCCGTGAAACGTGTGGGTGCAGAGAAGTGGTGTTTCGAGAGTTTTTGAATTATGATTTGGTAATAGAATCGTATTTTGAGTTGTGAGTTTTGAAATTATAATTTGAGTCTGGAAAGTTTATTTGGTTAGAAGTTTTGAAAATAGTTTTGAATTGAGTTTGAAATTTTTGATGTGACATATGATATTTGATATAAAAATTTACAACTCACAACCAAACACACAACTCAAAACTTTATTCAAAACTCAAAAAATTTTAAAAATTTTTGAATTTTTTAAAATATAAAAAATAACAGGTGCCTATTGTAAAAATAAATAAATAAATAAATAAAAATAGTTAGCACTATTCCGGTCAACCGGTCGGACGTCTAGAAGGACGATCGGTTAACCTAAATTTTCCCGCCTTGAAAAGAATTTTAAAAGTGAGTGTAAAATTAATTTTTGAAAACTCTAAACAAACAATACACTCAAAACAAGAGATGAAAATATGCTAACCATTTTTTATTATCTAATTTTCACGTGGCAGAAGTTTCACTACATCAAATTTAGGGTTTTTTTAATAATAATTAGAAGAACTCGAATGGAGAAGATGACGAAAACCAAAGTGCTCCAAACCCAAGATTGTTCAGATTAAACGGAAGCCCTCGACTCACTCTATCTTTTTAATGAAGGATCTATGGTAGAAACACCCTCTAAAAAGATCAAACCTAAGAGAGAAGGTGTGTAGGGAGAGGGAGAAGACGGTTCTAGGGTCTAATATGATTATTTTAACTAAAACACAAAAGTTCAAAAGGGCACACAAAATTTTCTCCATAACAAAGAAAATAATTGGGATATTTACCAATAAATCCTATTTTACAAACTGTTATACCAAATAGTCCCACTTTTATTCTATTATACCAAATAGTCGTGCTAGTGTGTTGATTTAGTCCTTTTTGCTTTTTTTTTTTCATTTTTGTTTCACTCTATGGACGAGAGTGCCCTTTCATTGATTTACAAACTGTCATTTTTGGTTCACTGATTTGGTCCCACTTTCATTCCGGTGTGGCACACCCTCAGAGATTCGCGCGTGTGTGTGTATATTAGTGAGTGTGTGTGTGTGAGTGTGTGTTGAAGCCATCTGTGTGTCTGCGTGCATCGGTGTGTTTGAGAGGGCTTGACCATGTGTTTGTCTCAATGAATTTGAAGACGTTGAGAATCTCAGATTGATCCCCAAATGCGACCATGTGTTTCACCCCGAATGCATCGATGCTTGGCTCAATTCTCATGTGACTTGTTAGGTTTGCCGAGCCGATCTCGTTCCTCAACCCGGTGAGACTCTGCAAATTCCAGATTTCAATCTCCAGATCGATGTTCCGAAGGAAACCCAAAACCCCCAAAACCCAACCGATGAAGTTTCGATCCGGGTCGTTGAAGATCCGGAGGAAGACTATCTTCCTCCTCCTCCTAAGGCACTGGACCGGACCTAGAACCAGAGCTTTAACCAGAACCGTCCTCCGAGATCTGGGTCGGTCCGGTCCAGACTATTCGAGAGGTTCCCCAGGTCGCATTCGATGGTGTTCCATCTGTGTGTCTGCGTGTATCAATGTCTTCCATCTGTGTGTGTGCGTGTATCAATGTGTTCGATTTGTCCGATCTGGAATCACATGTGTGTTCGATGGTGTTCGATGTGTTTTATCTGTGTGTCTGCGTGTATCAGTGTGTTCGATGTATCTGTGTGTTCGATGTGTTGAAGCCATTGCCATCGCCCTCGGATGATGATGTGTTCGATGATGTTTGATGTGTTCGATATGGAATCACATGTGTTCGATCTGCTGCTGTGTGTGTTAATGGCGTCTTGTGTCTGCTAGAGAGAGGAGCTATGTGTGTGGCTGGGTCTCTATGTGAGAGAGAGAGAAAGAGAGAATGCTGAGAGTGAGAGAATGCTCAGCCCAAATAAAAACCCCTTACAGCGGTTTGCCATTGTGTGACGCCATGGCAGTGTATCACATGCAACACACCACACATCCATTTTACTAATCGCGCACGTGAGCCATACACGCGCATCACCCAATCTTGAAGCCCCCAGCCGCATCAAATATAGGATACATAGGGGTAATTACGTCCCTCACAATTAAATGGGACTAAACGGTTTAATAGAATAAAAATGGGACCAATTGGTTCATAAGTTCAAATTTTGGGATTTATTGGTAAATCTCCCATAAAAAAATTAACGTGATATTTAACTTTTATTTTTTAAGATAATAACAACTTTTTAATTTTTTAACAACTTTTTAAAAATATTTCCAAAATTTATTGCGTATGAGGTTAATGTAATTCTGGTAAAAATAAAAAATGTAATTTCATAAAAATAAAAAAAATAATAATGTATTTTGTTTAAATCTTAAAAGTGGATTAGTCTATTTTACAGAGTAAGTTAAAAATTATTTTTTTTAATTTTTTTTAGAAAATGTATAAAACAAAATAAAAATGTGATATGACCCAACTCAATTGCCAAAATAGGCCTCACTCTCTAAATTTATTTTTATTTTTTATTTTTTAAATTTTTTATAGTAAAGCAAGTCTACGTTGGGTGTCCTATACTTGGAGATGACAATTTGAACCCGGCCCGACGGAGACCTGACCCCCCGACTACGATTTGAGCGATTTTTTCTCAAAAATATTCCCAATGGGACGGAGATGATATTTAAAAATCAATCACCAATCACTTTCGGGCCGGGGACGGGGATACGTGTCCCAGCCCCGTCTCCGGTTATCCCCCAAAATGAAATTACTATTTTACCCCTAGGTATATATATATAAAAACCAAACCCTTATCACACTATCATTTCTTTCTTTGTCTCATCGCGTCTCTCGTCTCTCTTTCTCTCCCCCTCTCACCTCGTCTCTCGTCACTCTCGCTGTCTCTCCCTCTTTCTCACGTCTCTCATCTCTCTTAGATCAGTGCTTCTCTCATATCTCTCTTCCATACTTAATTCTCCCTTTCTGTCTCGCCTGTGAAGCCCTCTCTTCTTCCTCTTTGTCTCGCTTATGAACCATGGTCCATTCGTGAAGCCCACTGTTGCCACAGATTAGAACTGGACCAGGAACGATCTCGTGAAGCTACCTATCTGGATCGATCTGAACAGATCGTGGTTCGATTTGAATAGACGGTGAAGCTACCGATCTGGATCGATCTGAACAGGACCGTGAAGCTACCTGACTAGGAAGAGCTGCAGAAGCCCTCTCTCTCTCTCTCTCT